ACAAGGTGGCTGCCGTGGCTCCCGACCTCGCACCCCCACACCACACTAAGAGACAAACAAGGTGGCTACCGTGGCTCCCGACCTCGCACCCCCACGCCACACTAACTAAGAGACAAACAAGGTGGCTGCCATGGCTCCCGACCTTGCACCCCCACACCACACTAACTAGGAGACAAACACTCTTTGGAGGTCTCTCCAAGTGTCTTGAGCTTCAGTGGACTGAAGTGGGTGTCAGCCCCCTGTGAAAGCAGCCCCTGGCTTTTTGACAAACCTCTGGGTTTGACAAATCCCCGGAAAGTCCCAGAGTCTTGGATGGGTGCTGTCAAGCCACCTAGAATCCCTGGTGACCCTGCGCATGTCCCAGTGGATCCCCTGGACCCTACAGGGTCTTCAGAGGCTGAGAGTTTGGAATTAGACGGCCAGGCCTTTCTTACAAAGTGCCTCTGTGTGGACTCCTTCGCCCGGCTTCCGGGCGAGCAGTGCTGTGCTCGCGGTCGCATCCCCCAGGGATGAGCACAGATGAGTACAGAGAGAGACGCCATGCTGGTGGTGAGGGTGGCGCAGGACCAGGCAGCGTCTCATTCCCGGCACATGGCAGCTCTAAGAGTGGAACTGAGCCAGCGGCACAGAAGAGAAGAAAGACCGCCCGTCACTGCCACCACCCAGTGCCATCAAGCGGGTTCTATCCTTCGTGACCCTACTGGACAGAGGACTGCCCCGAGTGCTCTTCATGGGTGCAGACAGCACCTTCCTCCTGCAGAGCAGCGGGAGACCTTAAACCACTGCCTGACCCTCCGAGCCACCAGTGCATAAGGCTGGGAGAGGTGCTGTGGCAGACGTGTGAGTCCGGGTAGACGAGAGAAACACCTTGATTGACACTTGTGTGTATAAGAAAGGGCTCTATATAAAAGAGTAATTGTATATTGAGGAAACAGCCCAGCCCAGTCCAGATCAAGTCCATCAGTCTGATGTTAGCCCACGTGTCCACTACTAATCTTTATCTACCACTTCAGACTCACACAGCACATGCAACGAAGCTGAGGGCAGGAAGATCACAGGCCGGTGGGTGCAAAGACTTGTGGATCCAGTGCTGGTGGAAGTATCTCAATGCTTGCAGGGGTCTCCGAGTGTCCCCTCCAGCTCCAGGACCCTGGTGTAGCTTAAGGTGACCAGATTTTAACATTGGTAAAGCGGGACACCATTGATAGAACTCAGATCCTGGTGAAATAGCCACATGGCAGCCGAAAACCATATACCCTACCTTGTCGTGCATTCTTTCCAAAAACCGGGACTTTTTAAAAACGCCGCAGGATGCGGGGGGAAAATTGTTAAAACTCAGGACTATCCCTCCAATAGCAGGACATCTGGTCACCTTAGTGTAGCTCTATGTGGCTTGTAAGCAGGAAGACAAAGCAGAGAGTCTGCCCTTCAGTGAGCTATTTCTCTCCGTGGCGCCTCCTAATGAGGCCATCAGTCTGTAACCTGATTGACAGGCTAGACTCCACCCCTTCGCAAGTTGACAGATGATTACATCGCTGCCACACAGACACAGGAGAAGGGGGGGAGAATGTGCAATGACAGGACTTCAGGAGTCTGTTACGTGTGCGTTCAGTGCTGATCTTAAAAACATCAAATTCCAAACTCTTGAAAAACAATTCATTCTGAGTGCTGCTAGAACAGAAATACCACAAGGGGATGGCTTTAATAAAGAGATACTTATTTCTCATTGTTTAGGAGGCTCAGAGTCTGAATTCAGGGCACTGGTGCTCCTTCTCTGTCTATTGCAGCGGTTCTCAACCTGTGGGTCGCGACCCCTTTGGGGGGTAGACCAGCCCTCTCACAGGGGTTGCCCAATTCATAACAGTAGCAAAATGACAGTTATGAAGTAGCAGTGTAAATAATGTTATGGTTGGGGGAGGGGGTCACCGCAGCATGAGAACTATTAAAGGGCCAAGGCATTGGGAAAGTTGAGAACCACTGGTCTATCGGCTCTCAGGAAGGAATCTTGGGAGCTTCCCCTGGTCTAGGAGGTTCTAGGTGCAGGGACCCCAGGTCCAAAGGACACATTCTGCTTCCTCCTCTGTTCACTCCTCTTTCCCTTTAGCTCTTGTAAGATCAGAGGATGAGGGTCTCGTCCCAGGGGACCCTCCTGACATTGGACATGATCACATGGCTATTGCCTCACTGCTACGCGACATCTTGATGTGACTGCCAAACTACTGAGAGCTGTGCCCAGCCAGGCTGACCCCTAACTTTTTGGGTGGGGTGGGATGGGGGGGGACTCCTGTCCATCTCTGCCACCTGCCCAGAGCACTCAGCATTGCTTTATCCAAGAAAACCTTCCCTGTACTTCAAAACTCATTTTCTGTCTGCAGGGCCGACTGACGTTCAAGAACGGGCGCGTGTACGAGGGCCTGTTTTACAATGATCACATAGCGCCGTGGCTGCAGCCCGAGATGGAATTGCCAGCTCACTTGCCGGCTCAGACGGACCTGCACAGCCGGGTCACCACCCAAAGCAGCCCGGCTGCCTCCACCAGCGCTGGTAGGCGGGCATCCCCCTGGCTGCTGAGAACAATCCAACTGGCACTAGGGGAGCCAGCCCCTAACAAATAATCATCGGTCCGGTAGGCGCAACTGTGCGTTTATGATCTATAAAGATGATTGTATGGTCATAGTGAATAAGAGAGATAGGAGGAGTCAGGCACATTTCGTGGCAGCATGCTCACGTCATCCCTTCTTGGTGGTCCACATGGAGGTGCGGGAGGAGAGGGCAGGAGAGATGATTTATTTCTAACCAAGGCTCATATATCTTTGGGGGCATGATTACAGGTAACCCCACACGTCACAGGAAGGGGCAGTACAATAGGCACACACATCATAGGGAGGGGATGTATGATAGGCATAAGCATAACAGGAAGGGGATGAACTAGGGGTGTGCCCATAGGAATGGGAAGGTCTAGAGGTATACATGTGACAAGATGGGTGGGCCCTAGATTCATGATGGCGCCCTAACCTTGGCTACCCTTGGGTGGACTTGACCTCTCTGGCGTCTCCTACAAGGAAACAGACAACTACTATCGTTATCTGAAGGGAGTGGGCCCTACTTGTTGTGGGATAAACAGCCGTGACTGCTTGTTCTAGATGGCTGATAGCTCTTAGGGAGAATAATCTCTGATCTACTTCTGATAACCTCCAAGTGTATAGTCATTCACAAGCAGCTAAGTTTGGCATATATTTGGGGGAGACAACTTGGGAGAAATCCTTCTGTTTCCCACAGTTAGTTTCCCACAACAGTGGGTGGCCATCTGAACTTGGCGTTTGGGAAGTGCCATCCGCTGGCTTCTTAATGGGCCTTGGTGACGCGCTTGGCCACGCTTCCAGGGAGAGCCACTGTGACAAGGCCTTGCTGCACAGGGACTCCGTGTTCGCTCAAGTGAAGGACGGGAACATGCTTTCAGTAGTGTTCACACCCTCCCCTTCCCGTTGCCCCGGCTTGCTAGAAATCATCAGGAAACTGGACGGCAGTGAGGTGAGGTCCATGCTGGGGACGAGCATCGAGCTGGACCTCAACTGGTTGCTGGCCAAGTACCCTGAGAAAGACCGCGGAGAAGAGAAGAAGCAGGTAGGGCCCATGCATGGATTCAGATCATCTTCCTAAACCCAGCCCACTCCATGGCCCTCGCATCCTCTCTGACTCCTGAGACCCCACGCGTGTCAGGTACAACTGAGCTCCGTAGGGGTTCAAAGGTGGAGTTTTTCCAACGCCGCTGGCCAGGCTTTCTTCCCAGGCTGGTACAGGTGTATTTGAACCGCCAGCTCTTGAGGTGGCAACTGAATCAATGAACGGTTTGCACCTCCAAGAGGCTCCAGAGTCTTCCTCCAGAAAACCAAACCAAAGTGCCAACGAGGCAATTCTGACCCCCAATGACCCTAGCCCGGCGGTTCTCAACCTGTGGGTCAGGACCCTTTTGGGGGTCGAACGGCCCTTTCACGGGTCGCCTAAGACTATCGGAAAACACACCTTTCTGATAGTGTTAGGAACCGAGACACCGCTCCTCTGCCCATCTCCAGGTGGGTCCGCTCACATGCAGATATGCACACATACGAGTGCCCGGCATGAAGACTGTTACTCATGCTACACCACGCTTCAAGACAAAATTTCATTTATTTGTCATTAGGAATAAATGTTTCACTCTATATAATGACATATTGTTTTTTGTGATTCATCACTATGCTTTAATGATGTTCAATTTGTAACAATGAAAATAGATCCTGCATATCAGTTATTTACATGACGATTCATAACAGTAGCAAACATAGTGATGAAGTAGCAATGAAAATAATGTTATGGTTGGGGCGTCACCACGTGAGGAAGTGTTTGAAAGATTCTCGGTAGAAGCAACAAAGCCCACATGGAACAACATATCAACCTGTGTGATCACGGGGTGTCGAA